TATATCGATATGAATTATGCTAAAATTTTCATCAGATTCTTCAAATGAGTTAAATTTGGAAAATGTGTGATGAATAATTTTATTTTTGGCATTTAATACAACTTTTAGTCCATTCTCTAACATCTTTCTTAATATTCTTCCAAATGAATTTTGATGCTACTTGTTTCACTGATGATTTGATGCCAGGATGGTTCAAGTCGTGTACTTTGCTGAAAACATTTATTCGAAATTGTTGTGGTATGAACAGTTAAATAATTGAAATTGAAATATCACACCAGATTATTTTTCCCGAGGGTAGTGGATATTGTTTAAAATTTAAATTTTTGCTACTATTTAGTAATTTTTCATTATTGATTTTGTTCATTTGCAGTTTTGTCACAATTGATGTCCAAAACTGGTTCAATTCTAGACATCGAGTCTGCAACAATATTATCCTTCCCAGTTATGTATTTTATATTTGTCGAAAATTGGGAGATATACTGGAGATGTCTTATTTGTCTAGGAGATGCTTTATCATTTTTTTGTTCAGATGCTAACATAATTGGCTTGTGATCTGTGAAAATCGTAAATTCACATCCTTCTAGCATACACTTATATTGTTTGATGGAAAGATAGATACTTAAAATTTCCCAGTCATATGTGCTATAAGCCTTTTGGGTGTCATTTAATTTTTTGGAATAAAATGCTATTGGTCTCCAATCTCCATTTTCATATTGCTGTAGAACAGATGCAATTGCAAAATTAGAGGCTTCTGTACATAAACTAATGGTACATCTGGATTAGGGAAAGTTAACATAGCAGCAGTTAACACAGTCTTTGCATTCTTCAAAGACATCTTTGCTTCTTTCGTCCACTGAATTTTCCTTTGATCTTTTTTTGTTGAACCTTTCAAGTATTCATTTAGGGGAGCTCGTGTATTAGCTGCATCTTTTAAGTATCTTCTATAATAGTTAATCATTCCTAAAAATGTACAAAGTTCGTGAATAGTTTCTGGAAGTTTATAACTTGTTATGGCTTGTACTTTTTCTGGAAGAGGTTTTGAGCCATTTGGTGTTATCAAATATCCCTAAAATTCTAATTTGTTCGTTCCCATCACTGATTTCGATAGACTGATGTGCAGGTCATACTGTTGATTTCTATCAAAATACTTCTGTAAGATGTCTCGTATGCTGTTCCTCAGTTTCTGACACTATTAGAATGTCGTCTAACTACGGAAAAATAAAATCTAGTCCCGTGAAAACTTCTTTAACAAATCTTTTAAAAGTGGAGGGAGCATTGCTTAAGCCAAAACTCATCACATTAAATTCGAAAAGTCCAAATGGAGTTATTATAGAGCTGTCTTTTGTTTATTTTGTTCTGCTAGTGAGATCTGGTAATAGACTTTAAGTAAATCAAGCTTAGAAAATATTGTTTTGCCTTTTAAAACGTGGTGGAAGTCTTCAATTCTGGGTAAAGGGTAGCGATCTGGTATTGTGACATCATTTAAACGCCGATAATCTTTGCATGGTCTCAGAGTGCCGTGTTTTTTCTAGACTAAATGAAGTGGGCTTGCTCATGGTGATTAGGATGGCCTAATAATATCATTTTCAAGCATAAAGTTGAATTTTTGTTAGGCTGTTTCTAATTTTCTAGGATCTAATTGTCTCACTTTTGAAAAAAATTGGTTTGCCATTAGTAGGTATGTTATGCTCAACATTATGTTTTGTTGTAAAAATTAGTAAATAAGGTTTTGTGATTTCTAGAAATTGTGCCAAAATATTCGAAAATTTATTATTTTTGTTTAAGGTGCTTATCTTTGATTCATCAGCTGATGATGCCAATTTCACCTATAATGCTTAGTTACACAATCAATTAACTTTTTGTTTCTAATATAAATCAATAAATTAAATCGGTTAACTAAATCTGCACCCAAAATGCCTTTACCGTGGCTATGATAGATGGCCATTGAAAATTACAACAAAGTCTCAAATCAAGAGTTAAAATTTTATGTCCAAAACATGGAATTTCAGTATCATTTGCAGCATAAAGTTGAAAATCGCTACTTACCTTGTCATTATAAGTGACTGGAATTAAGCTTACATCTGCACCACTGTCAGTCAATCAAAAATTTTATCCCACTTTTTTTGTCTGTTACAAAAAGTCTATAATTGAATTCATGGCAATTCTTTAAATCTTCAGCAGCAGAACCGGCCGCTAATTCTGATGCGCAGGCAAGTTTTCTGGGTTTTTCCAGTTATATGGTGGCTAACATTTTTCTGAAAAGCTTCTGGATTTGAAAGTGAAGGGGTAATAACACAGTTTACCATCCAGATTATAACGCTTTCGACTTCTACTTCTGCCTCTAGACGATGATCTGTTTTTTTTTCTTTCTATATGACGACGTCTTTCATTTGATGGGTGATGGAGTTCTTCAATCCGTTTTTCCAATGAAGATATTTTTTCCAGTAATTGTGAAGTGTTTGGCAACGCGCTCGAATTCTTAACTTCAATTGAATGAGCCACATATATAAGTCAGTTTGTGAATGCATGTCGAAAATCTTATCAGCCATAATCGCCAATTTATCAATACCTTCATCACTAACCACCAATATATCTTTGATACGGTGCGGCAATTTGTCCATCCATAATATTTTTAATACCATCTCAGAAATATCACTAGGTGCCAAGAATTTCATTTTTTGTAATAGATGACTAGGTTTCATGTCGCCAATTTCAATACCAGTGAAAAGGCATTTGATTCGTTTATTTTCACTTTCTTTAAATATTATTTAATAAACGCTCTTTTGCCTAGGAATATTTATTTTCAGTCTTATCAGTTATTATATCCCAAATAGTTTCCTCATATTTAGGTTCCATTTGTGAGACAACGTAATTAAACTTGGGTGGAATTTTTATACTGACTTTCATAGTTTCTGAAAAATTCATGCCATTTGAGTGGCTTTCTGTCTTCTCTGTATTTACCATAATATTTAGCGTTGCTAACTTTAGGTCACCAAATAATGTAGTGGTTGCTACATCATAAACATTATTTTGCTGCTGTAAGAATTACTTTACTAATTTTGAAAGAAAAACAATTTATTATTAACTTTTTAAAGACATTCTTTTTTTAAATGACATCATTCTACGATTATTTTTGTTCCCTACTTTTGCCACTTACAGTCTACATAAAGTTGTAAAAAAGAAAAGATTATATATGGTTTGTAGAGGTTACAGGCTAACAAATAAATACTTTAAACAGTTAAGAGTGCATCCTCTTTATTTTACAGTGGCATCCATACTGAACATCAATAACACAGTAAGTCATTCTTTTAATTTGTTAAAACCAGCTGCTGCTTCATACTTTAAATGCTAATGCGTGCTTCAGTAATGCTCTACAAAATAGACTAGTTTCACCTGTGCTATAATTTTTTTTTTCCAAATATTTCAGAAGTCCATATAAAACATCTTTTATCCATTTCTCAGCCGAAAGATGATATGCCTCGTTTCCCACCACATGATTTGCAATTAAAAATATTATTTCTCTTATTCTATTTTGTCAACCATACAGTTGGCAGAAAATTTTCTATCAATTTAGTGAATTCTACAGCTTATAAGGCATTTTCTTCCTCCTTTCAGCCTGCCTTTATGGTGTAGTTGGAAGATGACCAAACATGTATTCGAGAGGTCCAGAGTTCGAGTCTCTGCTAGGGCACTGCTCATTTTCCTGTCTCTATCATCAAAATAACCCAATGACTCTTCAATTGGCACCTAAACTAAAAAGTGGTGAAGGATAATTCATTACCACTAGGATTTGGCAATTGGGTTCTCTCATTCCCCAGTGCCCTTTTAAAAGGGGAAGTATGCAAGGTATTTTCTCCCTCCTTTCTGCATGCCCTCGTAGTGTAATTGGAAGCAAACTCAATGCATATTTGAAAGGCCCAGGGTTCAAGTCCTGGTGAGGGCACTGCACACTGTTCACGTCTTCTGCTTCAAAACAACCTAATGACTCTATAAACCTTTAAAGTCAAACATGTTTTAGAAATTGGAACATTACCCTTTTATGCTTGCTTATCTTTAACCTTCTTACACTTGTTTGAGACATTTGAGATTTTTGCTAGTTCTTTATCAATTTTATTTCTTTGCTTAGGTAAACTGCACAGTGTTATTTGGGAAATCACAATTTAAAATCTGCAGCTCTTTGTCAGCATTTTTCAAACATCATACTCTTTCAGCAATTTATCCTTTTCTTTGAGGCTTAAACCATTTCATTTAGGTATTTTTGAGATGTTACAAGTCATGTATACAGCAAATAAAAAATATTTCTTCCAATGATTTATTCAAATCCAAAAGCCCATTTCTTGCCACCAGGCAGATTGCACTTTTATCTGTCAAGGTCGACCAATCATTCATGGTTATTAGTATAAGCATAATCAATGCTTTTTTCCCTTCAGTCCAAAATAACCAATTACCTTTTTCAATCATAGACTGATAATGTACAATAATGCAAAGAAACATTTATGATATTCTCCGAGCCTGTAAGCACATCCATCTCCTTTCAGATGGTGTTCGAGAAAAGAAATCGGTGCTGAATTAAGCAACACCTATTTTTTTAATCCTGGAAAACACTCATTCATTTACAATCTGGACAAAGAGATTTGGAAACATTGTCTGACAGGAACCATGAAAGTGTACCCAACACTTCAGGGGGTCTCCGTTCTAACTACACTGGCTAAAACTTCAGTTAAACCCATTTATTAAAGACTGAAAGATAAATGAATGAAATACAAACAGCTTTTATTAGCCACAAACAGTTTATTCTGAACCTGAATATTCAAATCTTTTCCAGTCTGAGGTTTATAAACAGTGGAGATAAGTTTAACAAACAACAGCTTTTCTATTGATTAGTATACCTTCATTTTGGTCCCTGGAAATCTGAATGCAATAAGTATCTTAGTTCAATAACCAGTAAGTTTAAAAAGCACCGGATACAGTACATAAATTTAAACATTTTTTGAACTCACTTTTATAAGGAAACGCATGATAGTTTCCTTTTCTTCACTGAAAATAACACGAGACTTAATTCTGCATCTAGTTTCATATGAAAGCCTTCGAATAGTCTGAAGTATTCTCCTAAAAGAGAATTAAGATACAGAAATATGAATAACATGTACTTTTAAAATAAATCAATTTAAATAAAAATACCAATACAGAAAAAAACTTGGTTTGCAAAAACACATAAAATATTTTAAGAAATTTTAACTTCATAAATCAGCAATGCCTTGTATGACAAATGCTTTGTCTGCTGAGCTTCACCTGATCACAACAGAGCTGATAGGTTCTCTGATTGATTGTGGATAATTATTTCCCATGGTTATTCTGAATCAGCATGCCTTCTTATACAGTCAACATGCATGCAATCCATTTTAAATTTTTGTTTAAGCTTTTTTGGAGGAAGAGGGGTAACTGCATTGCAAGAAAGCCATCCATAAATAATTATACAGAAAAGGAAGGTGGTAAAAAGGATGATATGAAAAGAGTGAAAGCTAAGAAGAAAATCACCAAGAAGCACAAATAAAGTATGCGATTGGCATGCAAGATTAAATCTATGTTAAATACTTTCACAGCATTAAAGAAATATGATGGCTAGGGACAGGAAAAGTAACAATGGAATTCTCAAAGCAATTGCATACATTTTGGAAGATGAAGAAACATTTCTCACATAGTAAATGAGAAACAATTAGCAGGTCACACCGTGATTGAGAAATGACAAAAGTCTTACACACTGATTTTGTAAGTAAATTGCTAGTTACATCAACAGAAAATAAAGACTGTTTCAAGGTTAGCATGGGATGGTTTGATAACTAAAAGAAGTGGTATCCATATCTTTTTGAGACACAGAAAGGTGGCAAGTTCAGTTGCTAAGCCAGCATAGATGTTCATAGCAAAGTTACATTAGCACATGATATTTTTGAGTGTTACTTGCTGCAGCAGGTTTTTAAGTTAGATAGGACATTTTTTGCCAAAGATACTCATCCAGAAGCAGAAGACAACGTTATACCCAGTCACAAGACCATAGAAAACCATTTCACTTCCTTATTGCCTGCTAATGAAACAGAGATTTGAAAGGCAAACTCTTATTAGCATATCTTTCTGAGAAACTATAAGCATTAAGAAATGTAAGGCACAACACAGCCATTAAATTTTATGCATAGGTCCAGCAACATGAATTTGACCATGCATATCTTGTTTGTTGAGTTTATCAGTGAGTTTTCAGCAGTAAAGAAATAACTTTTAAAAAAGGAAGCTGCCTGAATCTTGCTGCTTGTGGATATGCTTGTGCTTACCCTCCAGGTCTTCATGATTTCCTGGTTAAGTTCTTTCTTTCCATCTCCACTCCAACCGATGGGATAACAGGTCATTTCAAACTTAAGACCACCCAAATAAAGCCATAATGGTGCAATTCAGAAGTTAAAGAAGAGTTAGGTCATTCTTCTGCGTGACGTCTCACCACTATGATCCTCATAGGGAGACTTAACAGGAAGTAGTCTGATGTTAGTATTGTGCATCAGCTCTCGTTTCATGCATTTTAACTGTGGTTTTATTCTGCTGCAAAGAGATATTTTAGTGATGGAGATCAAAAATTAATTTTAATCATATATATTTGTTTTCTAGTAATGTAAATATTTAGAAGATTTTGACTTTATAATTTTAATCAGTTTTCCTTTCAAATTCTGCGAGGTAAAGCATCATTTATATGTCTTTTTATGCAGTTGCAAAATCTAGTCATTTGTGAAAATCAGAAAGGAAGGGATATTGTTATTTCATGTTTTCCAATTTGAAAGCAACCTTAGACAGGCTTAATTTTGAACATGTATGGCACTTCTTTCAGCCTGCTGTTAAAGAGAAGCTTATGTCTGATTGCCCTAGGACTTGATAATCTTATTCAAATCTAATCTAATCTAAGGTTGCTTTTTAGCTTAATTATTAATTTTACAGTGGTGTGTTTCTCTTCCAATTTGATATAGTAACAGATATTTTTTAAATATTTTTCTCACTTATACTCACATCTATATCACATACATTACATTTAAATAAATATAATATGCAATATTGTTGTCTTAAGTCTGATAAAACAGCTTTACTCACACAGTATTTAAAGATAATTGTTTCAACTTTCTAAAAAAGGATGGTATGCAGGAAGGCCCTTTTTATATGCAAAATTACTTTTATATGATTACTTTTTTATAACATTTTCAACTTCTTCTAAATGACGATGTCATGGAACTCATTGTAACATACTCAAATTTATATGCTTCAACTAAGGGTGTAAACCTACGCTTGACAAACTCTGAATTGAAATGTTTCCTGGGGATTATATTTCTGAGTGGATATGTCTCAGTTCCTAGACGGCGCACAAAATGTCCTTGTCAGTAGTGCCATGAGACATGACCGCTTTGAAACAATATTTTCAAATCTCCATGTTGCAGACAATGCAAATTTAGTCCCACTTGACAAGTTTGCTAAATTACGACCTCTTATAAACAAACTAAATGAGCTGTGCATGAAGTTTGTTCCGAATGAAACACATTTCAGCATTGCTGAATCCATGGTTCCTTACTTTGGTCGACACGGATGCAAACAATTTATAAGAGGAAAGCCTATTCGTTTTGGATACAAGTTTTGGTGTGCGGCAACTCGTCTAGGTTACATTTGTTGGTTCGAACCCTATCAAGGTAAAAATCTGGCAAACAAATATGAGGAGTATGGTGTTGGTGCTTCTATTGTCTTATAGTTTACGGATGCACTAACAAAGGAGCACCCTAGGCAATATCATTTTGTTTTTGATAATTTTTTCAAAAGTATTGCCCTGCTTGATAAACTTCGGTTCAATGGGTCATCAGGCAACAGGCACAGTTAGAAAGGTAGGTCGTATTGATAAACCACCATTGCAATCGGATGTTGCCCTAAAGAAAATAGAAAGAGGCTCATTCGATTATCGAGTTGATGGCAAAGGCAATATTGTCTGTAGATGGCATAAAAACATTGTGACTGTTGTATCATCTGGTGCTGGTGTAAATCCACTGTGTCTTGTAAAATCGTTATTCACAAGAACAAAAAAAGAAATCCAAGTTCAGCAGCCAAACATGATAAAAGTATATAACCAATTTATGGGAGGTGTGGATAGAGCAAACGAAAACATTGACAAATACAGTCAAAAGTCGTTAATCCGGACTCGTGGGGACTTCGGCGATTCCGGATTATCGATTTTTCCGGATTATAGATCATCAGTTTAAATCTGGTAAGATGGCATGCAGAAATTATAAAATTAAAAATATGAAACCATAATTTATGAAATAAAGAACAAATATGATCTAAAGGGTATCAAAATTTACAAAAAAAAAAGTTTAATATTTATTTGTTTACTTTATTAAACATTTCTTTCAATGTAAGTTGTTTAAGTTGCTTCGTTTTTTATGTGATAATACATTCTCTTTAATTCTTTAAACAGACATAATTTCTTGTTCAGTTACAAAGTTCCGCTGTTCAAGTCCTATAATTGCTGTGTCGAGAATACCGACTAATTTGTCAATTGAAATTTTTTCGTTTTCAATAACCTCTGTTACTTTCTTCGCTATCGGAAGCGAATTATAATGACGAGGAATTTGATTTAAATCATATCAAAGATGGAGTACATAGAGATGAAATACTACATTTAATAAGGAATTATAAGCCAAATAAAATAGAAACATCTGCCCTAAAGATAAGGATAGTGCTGACAGATCAACTTCCAATTCATAGCGCGGCGTTAAAGATAAACAAAGTTTAGATAAACAAACGTTAAAGTTTAGATAAACAAAGGATATGCCTTTATCCATTTTTTGTAGCAATTCCACTTTTTGTTTAATGAACTTCGAAACATACTTTCGCTTTGTACATCGTTTACATATTAATAAATATATATCAGAAATTCTGTTTGACATAATCGAAAGTTCAAGCTTACTTTTATAAAATTACTCTAACAGTCTGCAAAAAATAATAAGCCGGATCCAATTCGAAGATTAAGGAACAACGCAATCTGCAACATTAACTGAAATAGATAATTAAATAATTTTAGCTTAGCTTATACAGTTCGTTATACATTAAACGCGCATTCGTAAACGTATTTTGTGCACGCGCACAAGCATTTCGCGCATGCGTCAACGCGATGCATGCGCAGAAAGTTTGAAGCTTTGAGGTCCGGATTATAGATCATTCCGGATTATGGGTGTCCGAATTAACGACTTTTGACTGTATAGAATATCAATTCGTGGAAAGAAATGGTATTCAAGTCCATTGTTGTTCTGTTTCGAATTGGCCTTACAAAATGCTTGGCAATTACACAAAACTTATGATGCAAAACCAATGGATCTTTTAGAATTCCGTCATGGTGTAGCATGCCATTCTCTTGAGACTCATGGTCATCCTGCAGAACCTGGCAGGAAAGGAAAACCCTCTCAGAAGCGAAACATTGATTCACGCTATGATGGCATAAATCATAGGATCGTAAAGCAAGGAAAGCAAACTTGCTGAGCTCAATGTCATAAAAACACCACTTTTCGATGTGGAAAATGCAATGTGGCTTTACGTGTTAAGTGTTCTTCCAATTACCATACCAAATAATGGAAATAACCACATTTTTAGAGGAAACCCACGATTTTATACATTGTAACATTATAGCAGTGGTTTTGCCTAGTGTTCCATTTTTGGAACACCATATAACTTGTAAACTAATTAAAATAAAAAAATGTCTTCTACAAATCATTGCTTATTATATATTTTTACCTAACATATAGAAATTTCATGCAAAAATTTGAATTTTTTAACCTTTGGCATAAATGGGTTAAATGGTCAGCTAAATTTTTTTTAGAGTTTCGTTATTTTTAAATTTTTAATTTTTGATACAAGTTTATTTCTAGATGTCACTCAACTTTTTTGTTGCTCAAAAAATGATTGCTTTTAACAAAAGGATGGATATCTCAGAAAATGCAAAAAATTCAGCAAATATTTTCTATGCAATGATTACGAAAATGACATCAAAAATCGCTTGCTTAGAATGCTGCAAAAGCTACTGTTAAAATCCAAATGTTGCT